ACATCATAGAATAAATTATTATTGAATATCAGAAATGAAACATTTCTCCAAATTCAAGAAAGACCTTAAGAGTTTATTTTTAACAGAATCATACAAGTTACTAAGTATTCCAAATGTTTCATTTCCGAGTATTTAGATGTAGTCTTGACAAATTATCGAAATATAGCATAACTCAATCTAAGATTTCTGGATTTCACCTTATACCATATCGTTAATAATTTTATAATCGAGATTTTGCTCTTTAAAGCATTCTATATTGGTTTTTAAATACAAGTACAAGATTATATTATTTTAAAATAGTAATTTCAATAATGGTGAGATCTGCAGATAAAAATGTATGTTTAGTTTTTAATTGTAAGTTTTACTTATTTTATTTCAGTTGTTTTGAAGTGCATTAGATCATATCCATATTTATATTCCGCTACATATGCACTACATTATTATCCGAAATCATTATGTCAATGCAGATGTGGATTGTGACATTTTGACTGCATACTGCTAATCTTTAGCAGGTGATGATTTCAATTGAGTATGCATCCCCAATAAACTGTTGTGCTCAGCTGTGACTGGATGAAATTCCACAGTCCTCAGTGGTCTGCTGTCGCATGGCTGTCTTGCTGCTACATTTCTTGATTGTCGACAACCAAGTTGGCAGTTTCTTAGACAACTTTCTCATCAGATGGTCTAATGGTTCTTTATCTAAGCCCTGATATGGTCCACTTCAGATCAGGGAGGACAACTTGGTCTGAGAGGAGCTAGCACATCCTTTTTCTGCTGTAGAACTTCCTTCACAAAGGTGGTTTTGCCTGTTGAAGGACTCCCTTAACAGATCTTCTGACAGTGTCTGCTTCTTTAGGATAGAGTGGTCTGATCAAGGATTCAACCTTTCAATAATTTGTATGGCAGGTATATTGTCAGGATACCTAAAATTTTGAGTGCAGTTGCCCCCACATCACAAGCATTGCAGTCTATGATGATTCACCAAGTTTTGCCTACGCAGTTGTTAGAATTGAGTCAAGTGGAAGGATTGCAGAGAATTTGAAGTTGCGGAGAGAGACGGAGAATAATTTTGTCATTTTGCAATTGGAGAGCTTCAAGTATCAGCTTGCCATGTTAAAGCATGCTTAACAGCCGATTCCCCAGGAAAGCTTTGGACAAATGTTGTTGAAAAGTAATCAATTTTGCCTTTATTTGACAAACATTTCAATGAAAAGAGACCGCAATTTAACCAGTTTTTGCGAGGAAATGATGGATATGCGTTGCTCATTCGAGATGTTAGTTAATTGGCAACTTCTTATGTGGTCCAAGACAATGCTACATGAGCAGAACAGACGGCTATTGTCTTCTTGGATAACTCTGCAAAAAATCTCTTGTAGTTGTTTTCACAGAAGTGTGGGCATTTTTTAAAAAATTTTCTATAATTTGCAGAGTTTGCAAGCCACAGTATGCAGCAATCAGCAGAGAGACACCAAAAAACCTTCCACAGAAAGGAAATATGGTACATTTGCTTCTCGTTTTCCTTAGAAATGATAGCAAGTTGAACAACTTGTTTGGACTAGCTAAGAAAAAATATATTAGACGGTTTGCTATTTGTTTGATCTCAACAGATATCTTAATTCGCTCTCTTAACAACAATGCATTTGAGAAATGCACCAATGGCAACGCTTTTAACATTGTGACCATTGCCCACTTTTTAGTTACATTAATCCAAGAACACCTAGAAGATTTGGGATGTTTTTCAAGATAATTGTACAATTTTATGGCATGTAAGCAGCCCCAACAGCCAGGGTAAGTTCAAATATATTGCAAGTTTCAAATATGTTGTGGCAACATGTATTTGGCAAAATTTCTTGCATAGTTTGTAGTATTTTGCATGGTTTTGTCAATTACGCAGGATTTACCTGAAATTCATGGCTCCCTGACCACACCAAAACATCAAAAACCCTGTATCAGTAACCTTCTTCAAAAGTAATAACTAGCCAGAAACAAAATTTGTCTTATCACTCAAATAATCCTACTCTATTATAATTAGCCATGAATAATGACTTTCTCATGCATTTTACTTTCGAAAGTATCCAAAGAATTTATTAAATGAGTCATGGCTGATAAATATTTGGTACCCCATCTAAAAACAATAGCAAAATCACTTTTTTATTTACCTTCAATGTTGCTCCTTTTAGAGTGCTTTCATGATTAACTGATGATAGCTCTCCATGAAATATTGGAAAACAGTCAGGTGAAGAAATGATGGTGAAGGTCCACTTTGCAGAACTTACACAACCTTCAGCTCGGCAGCCGAGCAGCAATCCCTCTGATTTAATACCACGATACAATCAGTTGGTTTAACCATAAAGAAAAGAACTCTTTATGCATAATCCAGAATTTCTGTAAAAGAAATTAAAAAATGCTAATACTATCGTCACACTGTCTATGGAGCTAATCAAGTTATGGTGTGAAAAGATTTACTGGTATAAGGTTAAGCCCATTTATGTCGTAAAAAAGACAAAATCATACTGGTTAAAAAGTGATCTGCTAAGGAAATATTTAACCTCTTCACATTCCTACCCCTGGATTACTAAATCTGATTTCGGAAAAATCCCATTGACACATTCACCGTACATCCACAAATTATCCTACATGTGTTTTGTCCAAGAATTATCCCTAAATACTGCAAAGAGACCATTGCATACACAACCGGTGCTCTTAAGGTGTAGAGAAAATCTTTCACTCTAAGATCTTGTTTACAAATTCTCCTTAAACTTCAGCCATCTGACATCCTACATGTGTTTTGTATGGGCATTATCCCTAGCTACTGCAAAGCATTCCGAACAAATCCAGTCCCAGTAAGGTTCTGTATACAGGAAATCTTTCATTCTAAGGAGATCTTTTTTTGCAAAATTTCCTTAAATTTCAGTCGCCTAAAACTTAGCAACAAAGTTTTCTAGGTCTTATAATTAATTGAGGGCGCAAAAAGGCATACCTTTGAAGCACTCTCTCCTTGCTCCCCATTGTTTATTGTCGGTTCTCCAATAAATACAATTTTAACAAAGTCATCTGCACCTCATAACTGATTTCATTGAGCCTGTTTAACATCTTTCCATACGTGCCTCTGCCCGATGTTCATTCTGACTGTTTTTTTAATACTCAAGTTGTTGAGCAACCCGTGAGATAACCTTGATGCTTTCCTTGGTCTGAGGCTGGGGAGTCTGAAGGGCTGGATCTATGATGCAAGCTTCTCTTCCTTTGCCCACACAATTTGAGTTTTGTTGCTTTCCATCATTTGATACATTGCTCACCCAAACATTGCAGCATACATCTGTATGTAACTGCTATTGTAATTACAGGAAAAAGAGAGAAAGCAGTATGTAATACATTCAACATCATTGTTGCCAGGGATGATCTCAACTGTATGCAATACTGAATCCTTACTTGCAAGGTCTGTTCTGGACACTTGTTCCTCATCGTTTTTTTGTGTTTCCTCATCCCCTCAACCAGGCTGATCTTCCCATTCATGGTCACTTTCATAAAAAAGACTGGTAACTGAGAGAACAAAAAGTCGCCTAAATGGTGATAAAAAGTTGAAATGGACATACAATTTTCCAAGGTCTTCTCTGCATTTTTTAATGCTTCTATTGTGCCAGGTAAATTCATTACCTCCACCTGGTCAGGGAAGAGCAGAATTTAGTCTAAACCTTCATCCTGACTCGCATGTAATAGAACTTTCCAGAAAATTTCATCAATTCATGCATTTATTATGTAATACTACTAAAATAGTTCTCATGTAAGCTTCTGGAATGTTCCAGAACACTTTGTGAACATATTTATAGACTCGCTTATGTAGTAGGAAGAGTAGTTGTTGCTGTCTCAGAGAGAGTTACTGCGCAAGATTGCTTATTTGAAGGAACTTTAGGGACAGCAGTGAGATTGTGTCAGTGGTGAGCTACGATATAGACTGTGGTGTGCTTAATTAAGTTTATTAACAATAAGTTATGCACTGCTTTGAATAGTGGCTCCATGTTAAGAACATTGCTCGCTGTTTAATAAAGTAGTTGAGTTTGTAGGATTGTAGTGCTTTTCTGTCGGTTATATTATACCGTAACACTTATTGAGAATAACTGTTAACTTTTCATTCACAGGTAACATTTTTCTTTAGCCTTGCTTCAGGTTCAAAGGTCAGGCTTCTGAACTAGCAAGTAAAATATGATAATGAATATTGGTACATCTTTATGGTTACAAACAACTTCGAAAAAGAAATGTTCAAAGACAAGCTTATCCCCTTACACCCTCACATCAGTATGCTTAATCTCCATCCACACTGTTCTCTACACATTTCTTAAGGTGCTAGCAAAGAGAATTTATTGAACAATCAAGAACTTCCTCAGTTGGGGATCAGTTCCTTTATTCCTGCGACCTCAATGTGTTATTCAGGTGTGGTATTTTAAGGAGAAATTGCATGTAGATGCTGGTCACTTTTAGGGGTTAAAAGAACTACATGTACAGAAAAGTGAGAAGGCAAGTAAAACTGTTGTTACTGCCGTTATGCGTGATGTCACGCACTCATTAGCTAGATCCCGAGAGGCGCTGCGAGTTAAAAAATACATGTGCTCGATCGAAGTGGAGAATCGTTTCAACGCCCGTTTAACGTCATCGTTTATATTATAAGGACACAAACGTAAGTTTTTTTTGGTTTCGTTTCTTGTTTGTCTAGCCTTTTTCCGTATTTATAGTTGTAAATTTCCTTTGTTTCCTTTTAGTTTTCGAAACCGTACAACGTTCGTTCAAGATTGTAAAGTCCATTTCATAATTACAAGTACGCGTGTTCAAGTTTGTGTTGTCGTACCGTTTTATGCGTGCACATTTCGTTTCGAAAAGTTTAACCCTCATCGCATACTGGTTTATTGGAACTTATCCTACGTTTATTTGCAATGTTGGGCGAACTGTTCGCCACTCATCGCTAATTTGAAGCGACTACCGAAGGATTAATTAGTGCCTAGTCCACCATGAACGATGAACCTGTCGCTGAGGGCGCTGGGCCTGGGTTTCCTCCGAACGAAAGCTGTCCCGATACTCGTGTAAGGAAATTAACTGAAAAGGGTCAAGAAGAGAAATTAAGGCGACTGAAAAACGATCAAACTGCCAAAACGACTGCTGTGACAAAGCAAAGGAATGCTCTCACAAACTTAATGGAAGATGAGAACAATCTTCATTTAGTGAAATCAGAGGTTATTGTATTGAACACATTATTCAAGGAGTATCAAGAAGCACGTGACCTTTATTATTGCCAGTTGACCTCCGAACAGGATCAAGACAGGGAACTTGATCGCTATGAAAGTAAGGAGAAGTCATTTTTGGAATTTAGGAAACAGGTTATGGAATGGATGAATGTAGCAGAACGTCGCTTAACAGAAGAACTTGATCTGCTCTCAGAAGTAAAATCGGCTTCATCCAAATCGTCCCGTGTTAGCACCCGTTCGAAGAAGTCTTCAGCCAGCTCAACGCCATCTGCACGAGCAAAGGAGAAACTTAAGCTAGCGGAATTACAAGCTGAAAAACAAATGCTAGAACGCAAACAAGCTCTACGAGCAGCAGATGAAGCCTTGAAACTGGAAACTGAAATAGCGAAAGCCCAGGCCAGAGAAAGGGTTTATGCCGATTTGGAAAATGATGGTAACCTAGAAAATAAGGATGGTATTGTTCCCTGTCTCCAGCAAAGTGAACCTAAATTCATGGCTTCAACACCTGCCGCTCATCTCAACCCTGCTGCCCCAGAGTTTCACTCAAACAGTCTAGCCGGCGAGATATCGCCTCCGGCTAACAACGGGACCACTGATGTACCACAAGGAATTATCGCTGCAGCTGATGATCCCTATCGATTGGAACCCCATGAAAGGTCTTTCAAAGAAGTGATGGCCATGCAGCGACAGCAAAATGAGCAAATGATTGCAACCCATCGGCAACTGGCTGCAGCAATGACTCTGCCTCAACCTGAAGTGCACAAGTTTAAAGGAGACCCCATCGAATATGGAACCTTTATCATGGCATTCAAGGCAAGGATAGAGTCCAGAACATTCAGGGCGGCAGATTGCTTATACTACCTGGAACAACATCTTGAAAGGGAACCACGAGAACTTATTGGAGGCTGTCTGCATATGGACCCTTCTGAAGGATATAAGGAGGCGAGGAGGTTACTGGAGAAGGAATATGGGGATCCCTTTAAAGTTTCAATGGCCTATGTGAACAAAGCTCTCGGATGGTCCCCAGTTCGGCCAGATGACGCATCAGGACTAAAGCGTTTATCGCTTTTCTTGATTAAGTGTAAAAATGCTATGATGAGCGTGTCTCATATGAATGAGTTAAATCATCCTACGAACCTGCAGACCATTGCAAAAAAGCTTCCCTCGCATCTCCAGTCAAGATGGCGTGATCGTGCTGCGAAATTGAAAGAGAACGGAAGGATAGCGAGCTTTAAGGATCTCGCTGATTTTGTGGTGTCAGCAGCCGAATCAGCGAACGACCCTGTATTTGGCGTGCAGGCTTTAAGTAGTACCCAGGAAAGGCGCAGAGATAACAGTGGGAGAGATGGCAAGAAGAAGCCCTCGTCAGCAACTAAAACAAGCAACAGTTTTGCCACTGGTATCACCATTCCCGGCATAGAGGCTGTAAACCATGCGAACCGAAACAATGCTGGTGGCAAGGAAAAGTTGTGCCCCTTCTGCAGCAAGAACCATGACCTGGATGATTGTGCGGAATTCCTCAAAAGGACCATGGATGAAAGGAAGACATTTCTTTACGAAAGAAAATTATGCTTTGCCTGTTACGAATCTGATCATGTATCCAAAGGTTGTGTAAAGAGACGCACCTGCAAGAAGTGCAAGAAACAGCACCCAACAGCATTGCACATTGATGGTTTCACAATGAATAGAGAGAGCGTCAGTAACAAACCCCAAGCGACGGAAGTTCAATCTATAGCGGTTAGCAATAGGCGCATTGATGTCTCTAAACCTGTACAGGACGCACCAAGTTGCAAGGAGTCCGTAGTGCTACATGCCATACTCCCAGTTAAAGTTAAACAGAAGGGCTGTAACAATTCAGTTGTCACGTACGCGTTTTACGATAATGGTAGTGGCGGCTGTTTTGCAACCGAAAATATCAGGAGACAGTTAGGAATAGACGGTGTCAAGGTTATGCTACAACTCACCACCATGCATGGACAGAGTCAAGTGGAAAGCATCATTCTGGACGATCTTATCGTTACGAGCCTAGATGATGAGAATCCCATTGAGTTGCCTCGCTCATACACAAGAGATGAAATCCCAGCAGAACATCACCAAATTCCCACGCCCAGTCTCATAAATCAGTGGTCACACCTTTCCGAGGTTGCGAAGAAAATCCCTGAGCTTGAGCCTCGCCTGGAGATTGGACTACTCATTGGCAGCAATTGCCCGCCTGCCTTAGAACCATTAGAAGTTGTACCTTGTCGAAGCGATGGCCCATTTGCCCTCCGTCTCCGCCATGGTTGGACAGTCTGTGGACCTCTCCATATCCGAACTGATCATGACAAGGAAAAAATAATCGCGAACCGAATTACAGTGAGAGAAGTGGAAACGCCGAAGGAAATCATTGCTCCAACGTCATTGCTCAGAATGTTGCAGATGGACTTCAACGATCACACCGTAAGCAAAGCACCGGACGAGCGTGGGCCTTCTCAAGAAGACAGAAAGTTTTTAACTATGGTTGAAAGGGAGACGAAAGTTGTCGACGGCCACTACCAAGTTCCTCTTCCATTGCGACATAGCGATATTATCATGCCCAACAATAAGGAGCAAGCAATCAAAAGAGCAAACTGGCAGAAGAAAAAGATGTTGAGAGATTCTAAATACCGCTCTGATTACGTTTCCTTCGTAAACGATGTCATCGCCAAAGGGTATGCACAAAGAGTTCCAAATGAGTTGCTGATACCGAACCCAGGCAAGGTGTGGTATCTACCCCATCATGGGGTGTATCACCCGAAAAAACCAGAAAAAATACGCGTCGTATTTGACTGTAGTTCAAAGTTTCAGGGCGTGTCGCTCAATGACTGTCTGATGCAAGGTCCAGATATGACAAACTCCCTAGTAGGCGTGCTAACCAGATTTCGTGAAGACCCCGTAGCCTTCATGGGAGATGTGGAATCCATGTTCCACCAGGTTACAGTTCCTCCTGAACAGTATGATTACCTCCGTTTCTTATGGTGGCCAGATGGCAATCTAGAAGCCGAGCTACAAGAGTATCGGATGGTTGTACATTTATTTGGAGCGGCCTCGTCGCCAAGTGTCGCTAACTTTGCCCTTAAGCGAACCGCAAGGGATAACGAAGATAAGTACGGTACCTTGGTTGCTGACACGCTGCGAAATAACTTCTATGTGGACGATTGTCTACGTTCCGTAAGCTCGGAAGGTAAAGCAGTTGAGCTGATTGAAGGTCTTCGGCAATCCTGTAAGAAAGGTGGATTCCGCCTCACCAAATTCACTTCCAATAGTCGTGCAGTTTTAGAGTCTATACCAGAGGATGAGCGATCGAAAGAAGTCAGATCAATAACTCTTGACTGTGACAACCTCCCTATCGAGCGTGCCTTAGGGATACAGTGGTGCGTACAATCAGATTGTTTTGGATTTCGAATCGTCATTAACAGCAAACCGTTTACAAGACGAGGAGTCATGTCCACCATCTCATCAATCTTTGATCCCCTGGGCTTCATCGCTCCTTTCACACTTCTAGCGAAGAAGCTGTTACAGGATCTCTGCCGCAATGAAGATCTCGACTGGGATGACGACATTCCGGAAGACTGCCGCAGTAAATGGCTAAGATGGTGTGGAGAGCTTCCGTTACTAGAGCAATTTCACATTGATCGGTGTCACAAACCGCCGGGTTTTGGCCCAGTTGTCTCCAGACAGCTCCATCTGTTCTCCGATGCAAGCCAGGTGGGGTATGGATGCGTTGCCTACCTACGTCTAATGGATAACATGGGTCGCATACATTGTTCCTTTTTAATGGGGAAGGCTCGTCTTGCACCTATTAAGGCCGTAACAGTCCCACGCTTAGAATTAACTGCAGCAACCGTATCTGTTCGCGTGGGACAAATGCTGTATGAAGAGCTTGAAGTTAAGCCTGAGTCTATCATCTATCACACCGACTCTACGACGGTTCTCCGCTACATAAGAAACGAGCGGAGGAGGTTTCAGATATTCGTGGCAAATCGTGTGCAATTGATCAGGGACTTCACTAGTCCTATGCAGTGGAAATACGTGGACACCAGTAGCAATCCGGCAGATGATGCCTCAAGAGGACTTTCCGCCGCTGGACTTCTGCAGCAGCAACGCTGGTCAAATGGTCCACACTTCCTAGGGAAATCAGAAAAGGACTGGCCGCAGCAGCCCTTTCCAGTCGGTGAGGTCCCAGATGATGACCCTGAGGTCAGAAAAGTTGCTTCCGCCGGTACCATGGTAATGGAAGCCACGGCTACGTCAGTTAACAAGCTAATAGAATACCACTCGAGTTGGTATCACCTGAGATTGTCGGTGGCCGCATTCCTTAGAATCAAGGCTGTATTGCGAAAACGGAAGGAGATTAGAGGCCAGGGTTCTCTCGAGATAGATTCGGACCATGGTCAGGCAAGGTCGGGCGTGAAGTCACTACAAGCTGAAACGAAGGTAGTGGGTGACTGCTGCGCACCGCTCTCAGTTCAAGAGTTTGAAGAGGCCGAGATGGCCATCCTTCGCTTCGTACAGTTGCAGTCCTTCAGTAGAGAGTTTGACGCTCTCAGACAAGTCAGTGACAAAGGCGGTGGAGACGAACGGGGTCGGGCAAAGCAAAAGAAAATGGTGCTGAAGAAAGCAAGTTCCCTAACTCCGGCTGGATCCCTACATTCATGAAGGCCTCCTTCGTGTTGGTGGCCGCCTTAGCCGCGCTGACGATCTTCCAGAAGAAACGAAACACCCCATCATCTTACCTCGCAAGAGTCACGTTACGAACTTGATTATCAAACGCCTACACGAACGCCTAGCACACGCAGGCCGCGGTCACACACTTGCTAAATTGAGGGAGAAGTACTGGGTCACCGGTGCCAATGCTGCTGTTCGTCACCTAATCGCAAATTGTGTTACTTGTCGCCGTAATCGTGCCCCTGTCGCTGAACAGAAAATGGCTGACTTGCCTAAAGACCGAGTGACTTCAGCCCCGCCATTTACGTATACTGGCGTGGATTACTTCGGTCCGTACATGATCAAAGAAGGTCGAAAGGGACTCAAACGGTACGGATGCCTTTTCACATGTTTAGCAAGTAGAGCAGTGCATATTGAGACCGCCAATTCTCTCGAAACAGATTCATTTATCCAGGCTCTGAGGCGATTTATTGCTCGTCGTGGGCCTATCCGAGAGATCGGAGCGACAACGGAACAAATTTTGTAGGCGCCAAGACAGAGTTACAGCAAGCAGTTTACGAAATGAACAACGAGCAAATCAGAAGCAGGCTGCATCTAGAGGGTACAGATTGGATTTTCAACCCACCGAGTGCCAGCCACATGGGCGGCATTTGGGAGCGGCAGATTCGCACTACCCGCAAAGTACTCACTGTTCTACTCCATGAGCATGGCTCCCGTCTGGATGACGAATCCTTTAGAACTCTACTA